AGAACACATGTACAGCATAAAACAAGGGAAACCTGTACTGGTTTTGTGTATCCACTTTAAGAGATCTGCAGTAACTAATGAACGGAACAGAATATCCTCCTCTCACACTACTGCAGCAATCGAGTTATTTTACCCTTGTATAACTGAGGACACCTGGCAGCGCGATGTTTTGAAATAAACACTCGGTGTTGTGGTGCGCATCCTGAAACATGTTGTGCTACACCATTATAGGATTTTGACTGGAAGGCAGTGGGATTCCAAGGCTTGTTATCAAAGAAAATTCTCATGGTTCCTCTTGTTTCATCCTCTAACTGTTCCTATGATGCAAGGTAGGAGGGCTTTAAAAATACGGTCTTGCAATGTAAAGGAAGTATTGCCAACAGATCCTGTCTACGCAGTAATGAACATAAACTAGCTCTTGAAGCATATCTAACGTTTATGTTTATTAAGTTATTAATTACAACTGGGGTAATTAATAAGAGCACCTGAGGAGCATGAAACAGAACAGGCACTTCTAGATTCTGATCTAAAGCAGCTTCAATCACCTGCCACTTTTGTGACTCAGCCAACTAGTATTAGATAATGGGATAGGATAATGTTGCAGGCTTCTGATGACCAAAACCCTTTAAACCTGTTCAGTGCATGGAGCTGCAGCAACAGAACACTACATGTGAATTCTCTGTACGGAGAACTCTTTGGAAGATGGCCATCCATGACTGCTACCAGGCTATAGCTACCAATCTTGATGTTGGTAGATCAGCTGCTGGATCTGTTGTAACAGGTGAGTACTTTATCAAGGAGGTATTGTCTCCTGAGCAGTAATGGGTAGTGCAGGTCAGGGGATCCCAAAGTGTTGGTTTTTTCACTAGACCTAGGAGTTCACCAACAGATTAGAATTTTCTATGGTGAGGCAAGGCCTGGTTGCTGACTATGGGAACTGCACCATTAGTTATATAAGGTGGTCTGGAAAGGCTCAGGAGGAAGTGTTTAACTACACCCTGGCTGTGTCTACATGAGACACTAACTGTTCAGTAGCTTGCTACTACTGTGCAGTAACGTCACATGGCACAAAGTGTGACATGATGCTACTGTGCAGTAGTAATGAGCTACTGTGCAGTTGGCATCACCTAAAAGCCGTTTGGCAACACTACTGCACAGTTACTCCAGTTACTGCGCAGTCATTTAGTACTTGTCTACAGTCATTTAGTACTTGAGGGGTAAAGGAAGAAATCTGATGTTGGGAGCTGGAGGCTGATGAGAAACATCTACCTTTTATTGAAAGCTCCTTGCCATTTTGGCACAACCTTTGTGAAACTAAGGGAGACAGCCTCATGAATAGATAGGAGAAGGAGCTGGGCAGGTTTCCTGAGTGTTTTGAATAGCATCTACAAAGCGCTACTGTTCTTCTGAGGGACAGAAACATAGATACAACGTGCTCCTGATGCTTCATGTTGTGTTGTGGGGATTTTTATCTTATTTTGTGTATATTTCCTGTTTAAAGAATATTGTGCAAAGCTCTGCAGCTGAGTGCAGACAAGGTTGCACTTTTACAGTGTTTCCTATCATCCCTACTGCTGTCTGAGGTGGTAGTCTGCTCCAGTCCCTTCTCTCCCTTCTCCATACTAATGCTATCATGGAAAAAAAACAAGTGGTTACTGTATCCAGGCCAATAGCGGTAAAACAGTGCCCTTTCCTCAGGGCATAGGCTCTTCATCTCAGTTCTATGAGATTATGCAGATGACAAAACTCCACAACCTTCCCAGTCCCTGGGACTCCTGGGTCTATGATAGGTGAGTGACAAGTGGCAGGAGGCTGTTGTTAGAAAAGATTAACAACTACAATAGGCTCTCGATGTAGGGGCAGTTGTGGCACCTCACTTAAGGTGCAATCCCACTCACCTCAGCAGCTGACCGGTTTCATTCATGTAAACCTAAGGCACTTTGCCAGCTGAGGCATCTAAGTCAATGGGGAAAAGTGCAGTTCCACAGGTAATGTGTAGGAGGGGCATGGGGGGGCACGTACCCTCCTGAAATTGGCCACCTCCGAAGCCACTGTTGGCTTCTGCGGGTAGTTGCTGCCTGCACTTGCCCACCCCCACCTTGCTGCTGACACGACCGGCAGTGCCACCCCCCCCGCCACCGACGGTCCCTGCTTGCTGCCATGGTGTCCCCCCAATCTTGGGAGGCACCAGTTGCTCATGTGCCAGTGTTCATAGGGGCATTTTAGATTACAAGTTAGTAAGATCTTATCTTCCACAAGAAAAAATCCAATGTATAACGAATTTCTCACCAACCTATTTCTACTTCACCCAGTAATATCAGTAAGAGCATGGTTCAGCTTTTGGAATGCGGCCTTTTACGCCTACGTGATGGTTTCCCAGGCTTAGCACATGCATGTAGGCAAAGGTAGTTTAAATCAGTCGAAATCCAGGTGAATGTGCAGTATCTGGTGCTGCAGATTCTTCTGCAGCGCCATACATGCAGGTATTCGCCGCATGGCTAATTTGCAGCATGGGCAGAGGGGAGGGAGTCTGACACTAAGAGATCCCAGTGACAAAAAAACCTGCACCTAAAAAAAGCAGAGTGGTGCATGTGGTGGCGGCATGCACCACCCGAAACTGGAGCCTAGCTGGCTGGAGCCACACTCTGGCTGCCAGCCCAGGCTCCCTGCTGCTGGATTGGTGCAACTGCAGCCCCTGGAGGCCCACGGGACCCCAGGTAAGGCTGCTGGGGTGAGTCCAGGTGCTGGCCCCAGCCTCCCTTACCTCACCCAGGGCAACTTGCTGCCTGCCACAGCATGCGTGCACAGGCGCTCCCCAGGGACAAGCAGCAGCAGTGCAATTGTGTCACTGCTATTTTCTTCCCGGGGAAATTCACGTGCACGCTCTTCTGGATGTGCCTAGTGTGTCTATTCAGCAGGCACCTCACGGACATGATGTGCATAGCCCCTTAAGGTGTCTTTTCTTCAGTCAGGTGTGCAAGAGAACACCTTTCTCTGCAATGGACCTCCCAGAAATAGTGATGAGAGATGCCTTCATTCAGGAATTACCTCTACATCCCCTTTTTCATGGCTGCATGTAACTTCTACAGCAATTTGATTCCCTAAGGCTTCCATTCGTGTGTTCCCCCTCTCCCAATTTGAGAGGGATCTCTATCTGGGGAATCTGTATAATATTATCAGTATTGCTAGTTTGTGCCTTGAGCCCTTAGCGACCTGTTCTCTATTCTAACAGTCAGTGAAGAGGCCTTTTTGTTCCTCAATATTACATGTCCTCCAAGTGTAAGATTCAGATTCTCAGAGCTGATCCCCTTCCACGGTGCTGTTTTGAAGACAGGATCTCACACAGCACTCTGCACAAGTTCCTGTCCTGAGTTGTACGAGGTCCATGTGAACCTATGTATTCATTTCCCAGTTTTCTTCACTGACCACAATGCGAACTTTGTACTTCATACACTTGTGGTAGGAAGGGTCTGGTTACTTTAACAGGACAAAATCCTATGGGAACATACCTAGACTGTCTTTGCTAATAGGATAGAAAGTTAGGCAACAGTCTTACAGAGATTATTAAAATGCGTCTCTAAGCATATAACATGCAGTGAACTTGCTGAGTCAGATTCCTGCAGCCATTATAGAGCCTATTTCAGTAGAGATCCAGCACTGTTTTCCCCTGCTTGAAAAACATCGAGCAGTTAATATACTGTGGTCCACGTCCATATTTGAGGATCCCAGGTACAACCAGAATATAAGTAACAGCATATTCAGCATAGGTAGGATAGGTGAATACAGTAGCAGTCCACATTCGCAGGACCCTGCTGTCTGGGAAAGGCTTCAGATCGTACACTCGTATGGCTGTCCTCTCATCCTTGTTTAAATAGGACTCTTGCTGTTGACAGCCAAAGTGACCATCGACTGTCTTAGTCACAACACTGGTGTCTATGTGGGAGCCCCATCAACCACCGTGCACTCAAAGGAGGGAGCCTTAAAGTTGCTTGTTTAACTGCAGGGGGTTTTTAACCTCACAGGAGGTATAATTCACAAGATGCGTCCTCCATGCAGATTGCCTTTCTAGTGCTGCAGCGTCTTACCGGGCCAGGCGTTTACTGGGGCTGCCTGGGGCCGACCAACCTTTCAGCCCCGTGGGCCAGATGCTGGCGCGGGTGTCAGGCTGGGGTCTGGCGCGTCGGCCCAACCTTGCGTGCCAGCCCCGTCTGGTGCGCCGCGGCACGGCATCCAGCCCGCAGGCCCGGCCATTTGGCGTCAGGGAAGCAGCAATGAACACTGATGTGGCCGGAGATGGGGCACCACTCGTTAAGCTAAGGAGCTGAGGCACAGCGGGACCTGCTCTGAACCGCGTGCGCTGGGCGAGGGCCACGATGCTGCGTGGGCCCCGGCGCCGCGGGGAAAGACAACAGGCGCGAGCAGACATGGATGCAGGGCAGCGCGGGACGGCAACAGGCCACTCCTGGCTTCCCCTCCTTCCCGGGGCACCGAAGATTAGCAGGCTGTCGGTTGTTGGTCTGAGGGCACGGGCAGACGAGACTCTCTGAGTAAATGGGAGGGTTTTTATTAGACTCACTGAAAAGTTGGAAAAATTGTTCTGTGCAAGCTTTGGGAGACAAACTTTTTTTTAATTATTAAAATTATCTATCTATCCATATACATATATATGTGTGTGTGTGTGTGTGTGTGTGTGCGTATGCGTGTACATGTAAGTGTATAGTTGTTCAGACCAGGCGAACACCCGAGGGCAGGTGTCGCGGGGGGAGGAGCTCGGGGCGTGGGCCACACTGGAACGAGGCTGTGGCCCCGCCCCCCGCGCTCGTCGCTCGAGACCGAGACAGTTGGCCGTTGACACCGCCCCAGGGCAGAGGCGCAGACAGAAGAGAGCCGCGCCCCGATTGGCACCTGCCCGCTTTCCAATAGCGGCGTTCTGGGATTGGTCCGGCCGCTCGTTCAAGTCGACCAATCGTTGCGTAGACTTCAGCGGACCCCGCCCCCACGCCGCGTCCATAAAGGGCGGCGCCGCCAACCCGGCGCAGTGCGCGGCGAGCAGCTGGCTGGGGCTGGCGCATTGGTTGGCCGGCGGGAGTGTGCGGACCCGCACAAGATGGCGGACGGAGACAACAAGAGCACCAACCAGCTGGTGAGCGGCCGGGCCGGGCGGGGCTGCTTCCGCCTCCGTCCTCCTCCTCCTCGCCCTCAGCTGCTGCACCCGAGCCGGGCGAGGCCTACCCCAGCTCCTGCGCCGCAGTCTCTCCGGGCTGCGCCACAGGAATGGGCCGCACCTTCGCTCTCCCCTGGCTCAGCTCCCCTGGGCCCGTGCCCTGGTGCGCCCTTGCCCTTCCCACAGGCAGCGGGGAGGTCCCTGCGGCTCGGGGCCCGGCTGCCTCCCCGCCCCACATCGGGCTCTGCGCTTTCTCCTCTCGGCTTTCAGCTCCCAGCGCGTGGCGCTTGGCTGGGCTCTGTCTCTCCCCTAAAGGGCTGGGCTGCTTTCTCCTTAGTCTGGATTTGGGACAGAGCAGCTGACACTGCAGCTCCATCTCCACCCCCGTCTCACATAGGCCTGTGGCATCTCTGATTCAGTTAGTCTGTAAGGTGCACCTCTTCTCACTCCAGGGTTTTTATGCTTTTGCTTCAGAGAGACAGGAAGGCTTGAAACTGTCCAGAGCAAGGCCCCTACACCTGGCTAAGTGGGGAATACGCAGGTGGCTTTAAACACAGGTTGAGGCAGGAACTGAAAATGAGGGCTGGGGAGTCGGAGGTAGTAGCAGAAATAATCGTGGGAGGAAGGGGGAGGGAGGCTCTGAAGGGTGACATTGAGGAATGAAAGGAGTGATATTTTGTCTGCAGTTTCAGATCGGACTTGATGGCCCAGGAGGTCCCTTCCAGTTCCTTGTTTTTTAAAAGTGAGGCACTCAAACGGTGTTGAGAGCTGAAAGAAGCTCCTAGAAGGAGCTTTGAAAAAGTAGTGGAAAGGAGGAAGCAGCAGGAGATGAGAATGAGACTCATGCACTCGGCTAGAAAGGGTCTCTTGGAAGCTGGGAGGTGCTGCATGCGGCATAATTACAGTACCTGGGCTAGGGAGGGGAGGTGGCTGAAATTGCCTGACTTGATAGAAGAGAAGGCTTGGGAGGGGCAAGCATTTGAATGAAGGTTGAGGAGGTGATGGACAGGAGGAGTTGGCACCTGTTCTCTGCCTGTTTGCATGGGAGAACAAGTACACTTGCTACCTGCTTTGTGTGCTGGCAGAAGTCAGGCTGTCATCACTGACAGCTTTATTCTAACCTTTGTTCTGCTAAAGTGCCTCTTGTGTAATGGGTAACTTAAAATGAGTTCCCTTTTCTGAGTGATTGCTGGTGACCCCAGATACTGAAGCAACACAAAAACAGACTTGTCTGTTGACAGCACGCTTTTGTCTCCTAGTTTTGAAAACGAGAAGAAATTGAGGATATTTCTAGAAAGCGTGAAGCAGATATACTTATTGTTGGCACAGTTATCTTTAATGTGGAAGGTAGATAGGGCAGGACATCTAGATGCAATTATCAGATCAGTTATATCTATATTTTGATCATCACATGCAGATTTTACACCGACTACTTTCGGTTTTTTGTTTTAAGTTATTTCTACCTTCCCTCTCCCTAGGAAAATAGATTGCTGGTATCACAAAAAGGGACTATTTCCTATTTTCCCCATGGACAGCAAGCTTATCAGCTATATTTAATGTGTTACGACCTGAGGCAACTGTAAAGAGGCTGGCGTAGGCATTTTTTTAAGTTGGATCGCAGTGTGACTAGTCAGATGTGAAACTACTATTTTTTTTTTTCCTATTTTTGACCATTTCTGAGTTAAAACATCACCTTTTGTTGTTCATACATATAATTTAAAAGAATGCAAGCCAGAAATTGTTCAGTTTATGGCATCTCATAAATAAATGTACTAAGTACATTGTACTAATGTACCCAAGTACTTTTGGGTGCTACACTTGGAAATGTGTATTTTAATTCTTTGATTTTTTTTCCACTATTAAAAAAATTCCAAATAGGTTTTTCTGCTTTTTGTCTAACTCAAAATGGAGTGGGAAGCAGTGAAACAGACTGGATGTAAGGGCAGTAAAATACATGTACTAAATACTGGATGTGGTGGGGGACTTGAATTCAGTTTTAGTTTTTAAAAAAGAGGACACTGAATTCCTTACAAATGCTTTCTCTATGCTGGAGAATCTTATCTTGAAGATTGACAGACTAGTTAACCTCCCAAACAGAAGTTGTCTTCCTCCCTCCCTTTCTTTTTCTGAAGGGATGAGCTTCAGGTTGGGATGCAGAATAGCTTAGGCGATCTAAAGACACCTTATCTTGGAGGACATGTTACTACATAATCTGCTGTGAAAAATCTTAACCTTACTGTCTTGATTAAAACCACAGTTACAGTGCCAAGTTGTATGACTGAGGAAAAACTGGTGGAAGAACATTTAACTGAAAAGGATTGACTGTCAAGTACCTATAGAAGAATAATTTATTTTAGTGTGGCTTTGCAAGCACAAATACTTAATGAAAAATTTAGTGCCTGTAGTAAATAATTCATATGTAAGTACCCATGTGACTTTTTAATTAGTGACAACTTTAAATGTCTTTTTATGCAGGCTGCAGAGACTGCCAGCTTGGAAGAGCAGTTACAAGGATGGGGAGAAGTAATTCTGGTAACTGACAAAATCCTTCGTTGGGAAAAAGTGTGGTTTCCACTTGCAGTAATGGGTACTGTTACCTTTGCTTTCCTGTAAGTAGTCTGCATTATTTTTGCCAGAAAATCAACTTAAGCTTTCTCCTTAAAAATACCACCTGGGAAAGTTTTGCTCCAGTATCTCTTGCTTAATATAGACAGTAAGGTCTAAGATTTTTTTGTAAGAGCAGTAGTAACAGGAGGGTGCACAAGACCTCTTGCTCTGAGGCCAGCAGTGATTGCATGTTTCACTGATCCTTTTATTTATCCTTTCTAACCTTGGTTGTTAAAAATGTCCTTTATGAGTTGCTGTTGCTCTAGCTTTTTACTGCATTCTGACTTCACTCAATTTCATGTGCATCTTGTCCTTTTGTATCTCTCGCTTTCTAGTCAGATTTGATACTCTTGTTCTTAATTTAGGTTGTGTTGCTGTTTGGCTTGATAGCACTGACAGTTTGTGGTCTTGAGCCTTGGAGGAGCCTTGCTTCTCTTGGCTGAGTCTATAAGACTAACAATTTAGGTGCCTTATCCAAGAAACTTTCAGTATGTGGCATTCAGAATATAACCTTTTTATGCTGCTGCTTGTGTTCTCTTAGTCTCTTTGTCCTTAGTTGGAGAATAAATAAAGCTGGTTTGGGGTTTGTCCTTGTGGACAGGATTCTGTTCATGAAGTAACAGATTTACACGCGCACACTGTAGGAGTTTGGGATGTGCCTACAGATGTAGAGTAATTGTGGAAGCCTAGGGATACAAATGTTGCAAAGTTCTCCCCCGAAGCATTCACAAGGACAGGGGACTCGTTTATAAATCTAAACAGGATGTTCCACCAAATAGTTCTTGAGGTCTGAAGTCAGCTGGAAGCATGCAGAAAGAAGATCCTAAAAGTTGTCTTGCCCACCTCGCCTCCTCCCCACATAGAGGGACTGACCCATCCCAAATTGTACCAGTTCAGTTTGATTGCTGAGTTGTCTGTGATAGCAAGCTGATCTGTTGTAGTAGAGCAAAAACCGACACAAAATGATACTTGAGTTCAGTGCTTTAGCAAGGTAGGGGAGGGGGGCAAGCGGGTTGACTGCCCCAGGTGCTGAACTGAAGAGCTGCCAATAGGCACTGCCCAGCCAGAGGGGTGGGGCAGAGCCACAAGTGGTTCATTGTGGGAGGGGCAACTCCCACTGCTACTTGCACTCCTGGGTAAGCATGGGGGGTTGTGTGCTCCCTGGATCTGTGTAAAGGGTGAGGGTGGGCTGCCACTGAGGGCTTTGCCCCAGGTGTCAGACTTCCTTGTGACAGTACTGCTTCAACTAGTCTCAAGGGTCTGAACATTATGGTGTCAAACATGAACCAAAGGTACTTGCCCTGAGAGAACATTCTGTTCCTGTAGAAAGGCAGTGAGCTGTGATGTGTACGTGGCTTGGTTTACCTGCACAGAGTAATACTTCCGAAGCATTAAGGTTGGACACTTTGTAGGGATCAAATGCTACCAGTTATTTTGCTTCCAGGGCTAGTATCCACATCTTGTCCTCTGATGCAAGATCCTTGGTGAACAACTGCTTGCAGGGGTGCAAGTTAAATAATTTGGTAATGACTACTTCAATAGCAAGTTTTTATGCTAAACATTATACACAAAGCATTGTTTTGCTGCAGGTTTTAGTGTTAACATTGTATTGGCAGCTGTTCAGCCATGTGCCTTAAGCGGTTGCTGTTATCTTAAACTTAACTATCACATGGCCATTAACTTCTCAAAACTGGTGTTTTCCATATTGTGCCATTCTGCTTTCCTTTAGTGTAGGCAATAAATGTGCTTTTGCATTCCTTCTTTTCACTTACCCCTGCAATACGTCTGCATTGATGGTATAGTCCTACATGTGTTGCCACTGATAATGAGAACAACTTTGAAAGACTTGTTTTAATTTTTGTTCCAAGGTGGGAAGGTGTTCCTTTTAAAGGTAGGGAATAGGGGTGCACTGATAAAGATTGTTTTGGCCAATGCTGATGGCTAGTAATCAGCTGTTTTATAGGCAATTGGATCAGTATTAACTAGCCATATACAGCCCAGCAGCTTGGAGAGCAGTGTCTGGCCAGTAAGTTTTTGGGGGGTGGGGGTGGGAAGGGACATGAGGGGAGGACAAGCTGAGGCCCCCACAGGGAGGGATGGAGTAGGGCAGGGGCAGGTGGTACCCAGGCAGGGTAGGGTGCAGGACGGAGCTGTGGGCAGCTTGTCGGGAGCAAGGGAGACTCCTGCTGCTGCGTGTACTCTGGAGGAGTGGGGGGGCATGTGCCCCCAGTTCTGTACTTGGGGTGAGGGCAGGCTGCCTGCTGCAGGCTGGGGGCTGGCTGCTCTGGCCTCTTCCCAGTGGGGAGGTTGGGCCGGGGCTATGCTTGGGGTGGGTGGTGGTGTTGGGAGGGGGGGCTGTGGCCATCCCAAAATTCACCGTAGCCCCCTCCCCCGGCACTGCTACCTATCCTGGAAAGAGGCTGGCACAGCCCTTGGGCCCCAAGCTTGCAGCAGGCAGCCCTCCCTCACCCAGCACACATCCGGGGAACACATGCCTTCACTGGGGTGCATGTGGCAGAGGGAGCTGCCCCCCACCCCCCCTCCCCTGACAAGCTGCCCACAGCTCTGTCCTCTGCCCCTCCCTGCCTGGCCTGGGCAGCACCTGCCCCAGCCCCACTCGCTCACCGTGGGATCCTCAGTCCGACTCCACGTCCCTTCCAAACTTCCCACCTGTGCAGACAGCACTTACTGGTGACATTACCAGCTTCATTAGCCAAAAAAAGCTGATTGCTGATAACATCAGTTTCCCTTTTATCACTGCCAGTGCAATATGGACCAATGTATTGGTGCACCTCTAGTAGGGAAGTATAAGTCTCTCCGGAAAGCTACAGCCCCACAGTCATGCTGTATTTGAGTTTTGTTTGTTTTTTACAGGATGATCTACTACTTGGATCCATCTGTTCTTTCAGGCGTTTCTTGTTTTGTCATGTTCCTCTGTCTGGCTGACTATCTTGTTCCTGCTCTTGCTCCCAGAATTTTTGGCTCTAACAAATGGTATGTAAAGGCAAAACTAGCAAAAGAATTACCTTGGATTTCTTTTCTAAAAACTAAGTATCAAATGAGGAACATGGTGGTGAATATCGGGTTAATGGTCTTAAGGATATGAAGGTTGGACTAAAAAACTTGCTAACTAAAGCCTCCCAAAAATAGACTAGTGGGTCTATTAAGGAGTCCAGCATGCCTCTTCAGAGCACAGAGAATGTGTTGTTGCAGCTATAGCTTTCATGCTCCCTGTCTCTTAAGCTAAAGAGGCTTTTAGGATTTGGTCCAAGTTGCTTTAATGTACTTCAAGAAATTGCCATTGTAGTCTCTTTAAACCTAATGCTTTGGGCCTTATCAGACAGTAGTAAGAGTTAGGTTTTTAGTCGGGAATGATATCTAGTGAAGACTAGATACACAGGGATCGAGAACAGAAATATGGTGGGAAATAATAAAACACTTAAACCTGGTAGGTTACTTCGTGAAGTAAAACAATGGATGTTTGTAGAAGGAGAAACATGAGGTCTCCCACCCCATTCTTATTAAAAAGTGAGGCTACTGGCATTGATGCCTACACAGTCAGATGGATTGCAAATTGGCTGAGGGGTCATACTCAGAGTGGTGGTGGATGTGTCACATTCGACCTGGAGGGAAGTGGGCAGTGGGGTTCCCCAGGGCTCGGTCCTTGGGCCCGCTGTTCAGTTTCTTTATTAGCGACTTGGACAACAGGGTGAAATGCACCCTGTTTAAATTTGCAGACGACACCAAGATTTGAGGTGAGGTGAGGTGGGCATGCTAGAAGGGAAAGACAGATTACGGATTACAGCGGGACCTGGACAGGTTACAGGCGTGGGCAAATGAAAATAAGATGGAGTTCAATACTGACAAGTGCAGGGTGTTGCACTTAGGCAGTAGGAACCAGCAGCATACCTATAAGCTGGGGAACTTCCTTCTCGAAAGCACGGTGGCAGAAAGAGATCTTGGAGTCATTATTGACTCCAAGATGAACATGGGCCGCCAATGTGAGGACACGGTCAGTAGAGCTAACCATACCTTGTGCACCCATAGATGAATTGCAAGCAGGGCCAAGGAGGTGATCCTCCCCTTCTATGTGACACTGGTCAGGCTGCAGCTGGAGTACTGTGTCCAGTTCTGGGCGCCGCATTTCAGGAAGGATGTGGACAGTATTGAGAGGGTCCAAAGGAGGACCACTCGCATGATCCAGGGACAGCAGGGCAGACCCTACGAGGAGAGCTACGGGACCTGAACCTGTTCAGCCTTCGCAAGAGAAGGCTGAGGGAGGGAGGACCTGGTGGCCATCTATAAACTTACTAGGGGGGACCAGCGGGGATTGGGAGAGACCTTGTTACTCCGGGAGGCACTCTGGGGAACAAGGAATAACAGCCATAAGTGTTAGAGTAGGTTTAGACTAGACATTAGAAGGCACTGCTTCACAGTCGGGGCGGCTAGGATCTGGAACCAACTTCCAAGGGAAGTGGTGCTGGCTCCTACCTTGGGGGTCTTTAAGAGGAGGCTTGACGTTTACCTAGCTGGGGTCATTTGAGCCCAGTTTTCTCTCCTGCCCAGGGCAGGGGGACGGACTAGAAGATCTACAGGTCCCTTACAACCCTACATCTATGAATCCTATGAGAAGGGATTAAATTTGAGTTTAAAAAAAAGACGGACACTAACATGGGTTCCTCTTGGTGCTCAGTGTCAGGTAACAGCTTATACAAGCTAAGTAACAATACTCTGGCCTCAAATTTTTAATGTAGCCTGACTTGGATAACTATTTTCAGGTAGTCATGTACATATTTATGTAGTGATAGATTCTATTTAAATAGATTTCTTTACAAAAATTATATGTTGACTTCAAGTTCTTCACTCCTCTTAGGGGCAAGTATGAAGTTGATCAAATATAGTACTTCACATCTAAGAAAATATAGAAGCAAACAAAACTAAGACAGTTTACTTGTAGGTCACTACAACAGCAACAAAATATTGGCTGCTTTGTCTTTGCTGAAAAAGCAGTGAAATTTTAAATGACTCTTGAACATCCAAACTCTGGATGTTTGCTGCATTATAGAACACTTCAAATATTTCTTTTTTTTTTTTTCCTTTTCCTCCAATCCCCTCTATAAAGGACCACTGAACAGCAGCAAAGATTCCATGAAATTTGCAGCAACTTGGTAAAAACACGTCGCAGAGTTGTTGGCTGGTGGAAACGGCTCTTCACGCTGAAGGAAGAAAAACCTAAAATGGTAGCGTGTCTGTCTCCTCAGTTAAGCAAACTTCAGTTGAACTTTATATCTTAAGGCATAAAATGGCATCCTGCTTTAGTGTGACCATTGTGATTTGCAGCTTATAATGCCTGTGATTTGTGTACCTTGCCACTTAAGGTTTAAACAACTTTTAAATTTGTAGCCATCTCTTTTAAAATGTGAAATTTTGTAAATGTAAGGAAAACAACCTGGAAACCCAGATTCTGAATCACCCTTAAGGCAGATGCTGCTTTTGGGACATACTGTATTGTGTAGACCCCTTAAGGTGTGGTGTAGGTGCACTTCTGAAATTCTAGCTTAAAAAACAGTTTTGGCTAGAAACCCTCAGTTCTCAAATATTATGTTAACCAAAATTAGTATTTGGACATATTTTTATGAAAGCACCCTGAGTGAAATGGGACAGCTGACATAAAGAGAAACAGTCAAATTACCAATTTTGAAATCAAAAAGCCTTTTCAGTTTGTCCACATGAAATAGCTTGTTTAAAGGTGTAAATCATGGGCATGTCAAACATATTTTTTCTTTTTTAAATTTGAATTAATTTTTACCATATCAGGTAGGCTGTTTGAGGATTTCCAAACAAGCTCTTGGTAACCTAATGTTTATTTTCTCTTTCTCTCTCATTCATAGTACTTCATGACTATGCTTTGTTCTCTTGCTGTGGTTGCTTGGGTAGGGCAGCAAGTTCACAATCTCTTCCTCACCTACCTTGTTGGTAAGTATATCTTGCAACATAGTTGCAAGAAAGCATTGTGTGAAAACAGTTTAGTGCAGTGGTTTTCAGACTGAGGGGCGTGCCCTCCTGGGGGGTGGGGGCGGTATGTGGAGAAACATTGGGGGATGTGCAGTACAGGGGGGTGCAGGCAAGAAGTTTTCAAGAAGCTGGTGCCTCTGCAGCCTGGCAGAGGTATGTGGGGATGGGGAGCCCTGGGCAGGTGGCTGCACCTCCAGGAGTCTGGTGCATGAGGCACGCAGCCTAGCAGCTACAGCGGGGCTGAGGTAGGAGGTGCTGGAGATGTGGTGAGTGGACTGAGTTGAGCTGCAGTGGCTGCTAGGATGAGAGACGGGGCACCCTGTGCCTGGCTGTGCTGCTGCTCTGGGGTGGGGGCGAACAAAACTGAAACTCAAAGGGAAGGGTGGGGGGAAGGGGTTCAGCTCAAAGTTTGAAAACTGCTGGTCTAGTGGAAAACTTTCTCCTCGCCTCTTAAACAATTTATTGTTCTATAATTGGGGTGACCATAATTTTAGGGAAATTTGGGAAGGGGCAAGTAAATCCAGGATGGGACCTACACATGCATTCATCATGCCTTTGCATTGCCCTTCCTGTACAGACTCGTGTATTCACACAGATATTGTTATGACCCAATGGCTTCCAGGATCCTTGATGGCAGAGCAAGGCCAGATGGGACAGTGGGAGGCCTGTGGCTGGGCTTCATCCTATGCATGCAGAGGCTGGACCCAACTGGGAGTGGCACCCCTTGCCCCTGCCACTGGCAGCTGCCCAGGGCTGCCATGTGCAGCCTGGGCCTTGGCAATAGCTGCAGCAGTGGGGCATGAGGCTGCTGGCAGCGGGGGAAGAGGTGCTTTGTGGCTGCACAGTATAGGCTGGTGTAGCTGCACAGGGTCTGCTCCCAATTGGGTTCAGCCTCTGTGCACTGGCAATGAAGTGTGTTTGTGGGCCTCTGTGCTGTCCTGCTCAGCCTTGTTCCACCATCCTTGCTTGCCCACATGAGTGCACAAATCCTGACCTTGGCTCCCTCCCCCAGCCTGATTTGCTCTAGGCTGGAGAAACCTTGTTTAGCCCAGCCCCCTGACTCCAGCCTGCTTAGGAGGAGCCAGACTGAGCATGTGCTGTCAGGGTGGCACCAATCCAGGACTTCCATTTCAATTCTCACCATCTGGCTGGGACAGCCTGTGAAGTCTGGGACTGTCCTGACCAAACCAGGACATATGGTCACACAGCCTATAACAGGACCTAATTCTTTGATCATTTTGTGGAAACTTCTTCCAGTGGGGAAAAAAAAAAGGGTGGGGAGGGGGCCAATATAAAGTATGGTTACTAAAGTTTAATGAGAGCTTGGGGATACAAAGTGAAGGGAGCTTTTAAAGAACGCTGTTAAATAACTTCAGCCATTTTTTTTTTTATCTTACTTTTCCTAGTGAGTGTTTTGTTGCTGTTTCCTGGATTAAACCAACATGGAATCATTACAAAATATGTTGGAATGGCAAAAAGGGAGATAAACAAACTTCTCAAGCAAAAGGAAAAGAAAAATGAATGAAGCCTTGCTTGCTACTTCCACAGCATAAGGTCTCCTGGGGAACAGCTTCTAGAATGCTTATGTATATTTCAGATATATTAGAATAAGTTGTTCTGTTTATTGGCTTTAAATTTAAAATTGGCTCCCTGTTCAGCAGAAATATCACTCTTGCAACAGCTGTGGGTTTGTCTCACTCCCGCACTGTTGGTCACACATCACCTATAGTCTCCTAATGATCGTATAGGGGGAAATGGCCATCCTGTACCTGAGGAGCTGCCCTGAACTTACTCAACATCTACACCAAGTAAGACGTCCCTCTATCAGATACTGAAGAAAAACAAGAAATGGCAGTATTGTAATACAAGTAGCATCCTTATAAAGAAGTTAGTTTTGACCTGCTGGCATAGCAAGTACTGTTTAAGTATGTGCTTAAAGAACTGATTCTGTTGGTGTGGAGATTTTTGTTACTACTAATTGTGGTGAGAAGAGAACAATTAACATTCTTCATTCCTGTTCAGGTCTTTCTGTGGCTATTTTCACAGACATGAGCTGAAGATGATTCCATGGCCTTGCTAAAGTTTTCGTACTTAATTTCTGTTCAGCTTAGTTGCATAGACCTAGATTATTTCTGCCAAATTGGGCTCCAGAAGACTTAAATTTGAGCTTAGTCATTAGTTGTATAACATTCAATCATTGCACTGACACTGTAGCGACTGAGTTAGGGGGGTGCGCTCTTAACAGTCAGTTGTTCTGAAAACTGCTGTAGTTGTGGAACCATGTCTGGTTTTATCAATGTTTTTCTAGATACAGAATCACTTTGGAGGTATCAGATTTGTTTGTCTTGTAAATATGCCTGTCTCCTAAATTACTTGTGCTTTAATGGTAAACTCTTGTTCTAAAAACTGCTTTTTCTTTTTAGTAAAGCAAAAAGCTGATATGTATTAATGCATAATGGTGTTTTAAAAGTTGAGTATTTGTTTTAAAATAAGTTTTCTTCCATGTCTCTCTTAATTGTAAAACAGATAAATATAGACTTCATGTTCTTTGAAGACTATCTCTTTAATATCCCTGCTGTTTGGTCTTTGCTAGGTTGGGGGCAGGAGTAATGACACTCTGTGCCTCAGTGTCACAGAGAATAGCTCTGTGCACCAAAACTGTCAGTTCATTAGTATATAGTTTCTTAAACGAGAGGCTGTCTTCCATTAACTACTGACTTTTTTTTTTTGTTTTGTTTTTTAATGCTAATAGAAGCTTGAAAAAATGGTGAGTCTTTCTCTTAAAAAGGAGTACTTGTCTAACTCTGAGAAATAGTGGCTATGCCAAAGAGCATGTGAGCAAGTGCTCTTACTGTCTAATTTACTCCACAGTAGAGGTTGGAATTGTTTGACTTTAAGTAGCTGCTGATGAAGTTGATCCTGGCCAGTTTATGGGACTTGTGAGTAATTTGTCAAGAGGTGGCTTATGAAGATGACAAATCAGTATGTGTCCTGTTGCTACAATGTTAGAGACTACAGAAAAAATGAATTGCTGCAATACTGAAACTTGCTAACGTTTCAAAGTTTGCAATATTAGGATTGTTGCAAGTACCAAGACAAGCAGAATACTCGCAGTGGCTTTTCTTGGAAGCTGTTACTGTGAAGAAAACATTCTTAAGATTAAACTCGCTCTGTAGATCAGTAGTGCTCAACTTCTTGGCTCTGCAGGACAGACGAGTGGCATGAGGTTCATCCACCAGCTGGATCTGGCCCTGGAGCCTGGCATCACTCTTTCTTCTTCCTCTCTCTCTTCCCCTTCCCCCCCCCCCCACATATGCTGGAATTGGGCATCCCATTCAGTGTGCAAGTTCCTGGAACTCCTGGTGCCAAATTTCTGGACCCATAGGGAGAGCAGTGGCACCATTTTTCCCCCACCACCACATTTCTGGACCCATAGGGAGCCCCACAGGCCAGATGACACAGTGCTGCAGGGTGGGCCTGGCCTGTGGGCCAGGGATTGAGCACCCCTGCTGTACACAACAATAGCTTGGGGTGGCTTGAGCTTTCAATTGCCTAATCTGAAAATTGTGCTGATAACCAGACTTCTAAAGGTTTTTTGCAAAACTGTCTCTGCAGGGGGAACTCTGGGCACATCTACAAGTGCACAGTAACCAAAATTACTGTGCGGTATGGGCATGTATGCCCATACTATGCAGTAAATGTAGCAGCTTATGTTTACTTGAGCATACCTGCATGATGCAAATATCAAAGCTATCAGATTTTACACCCAATTAGTTGCTGCGCAGTAATGCACATGCTGCACAGTAATGTAGATGCCTTACTGCACAGTAATGCTGTGTGGACTGATTTGGGATTAATTTTTATTCCCAAATCGGTCCACACAGCGTTAATGCGCTTTAACACCTGCATGTGCAGATGCTGGCCTATTCCCACTTACTGCACAGTAAATTTTAAGCTAGAGTAAATGCATGCGTAGACTTGTTCTCTGAAGGAAATCTAGTAATAGAAGCCGCAATCATATTTTGAGCCCAAACTTGTGAAGTAGCAGAGCTGTGTTTTAAATTCTCTGTAGAGAATCAGGTTTTCAACCTGTGATCTGTGGACCTCTGGGAATCTGCAGACTGTCTAAGGAGTTCATGAAAGATGACTTCAATCAAAAGTATGTGAATACTCGTACTTACAATTCAAAGGGGTCCGTACCTCCATTTGAAAATTTTTAGGGATCTGCAAATGAAGAGTTGAAAACCACTGCGCTTTTTTAGCACAGCTTTGGAAAAGATGTTTTTTGTATATACCCCCCCCCCCCCCCCCCCCCAATGGCCATGAGATAGATAGTGAAATGACTTAAAGGATATGTATGTTTGTGGGTGGTGTATGTGTTTTTTCTTCGTGGCTTGTTTGTTTGGTTTTTTTTGTGGTTTGTTTGTTTTTTTGTTTTGTTTTTGTTTTCTTTGTGGATGTTTCCCTTCTGTCATCCAAGGTGGTGCTTGTGTAAGGAAGGAGTGTGGTACCACTTAAAGGTGGTATAGTATTCCTACCAAACCATTGGTCCTTTAAATACTAGTGTATGGTATAAGCTAACTGTGTTCACAGTGTTGGGGAGACTTGAGTTGAGGTAAAAATGTTATGCCTTGCAAATGAGTAACCACCTCCAAAAAAAAAATCCACATTCCAGATTCTACTGTTACAATTCCACACCATATAGCTAAATAAAGTATTCTTACCCTGCTCTGCCTTGAGTTTATTTTACAGTGCCTGTTTCTCTTCTGTTAATATCAGATTTTTGTTTTCTCTTTAGGTTTTGAGTGCAAATAAACTTTAGGGAATGTTGCATAAAACAAACAGGAGTAAACTGGTTTCTGAAATGTGCAAAATAAGTGTTTGGGTAATCATTCTGGTTAGCTCACTTAATTCCTTTTATCAGTTTTCATGTAGGATTGAATCACTTTCCTCACTGAGCACTCTCAAATTTAGTCAGTTATTTGTTAGTATATTTATAAGAATACACACACACATTCTTTCAGGATCTACTTTGTAGCTGAAATCCAGTGTTGCTGAGAGCAGTAGAAGTCTTGACTTGAAAGAGCCAAGATTTTTATTTCATATTGGTAATTCTGTGTAGCAGATCTATGAAGTCCTGTGATGGTTCATGAATTGATAAAGGACTGCAGCCCTTTGTGTCTATTTAGATTTTAGAACAATGTTTAGTCATGATTGACTGAACTGCTGAGTCATCTCTAAAATATTCCACTGAAGGGTAGCAGAATGCAAGCTTCATTTTCATTATTAAAAACAAAGCCTTGCATGATGCAGTCAGCTTCACAATGAGATTTGTAGTCTTAATATAAACAAAAAAATTGAGTTGGAGCATGAAGTCTATCTTCAAAACACTAGAAATTAGAATGTATTATTTCTGGGGAAACTATAAACTGAACAGAAGAAAAAAAGATTTGCCCTTAATTCTGGACCTCTTACACAGGCAAAAAAGGCAGGTAGTTACTTGTACTTGTTTCTTCATGTGTATAGCTGGGCTCCCAGTTTTAATAAGACATCCACTTAACTTGACTGAAACTTCTATCTAAAGATAAAGCTGCTGGCTGCTGAAAGAATTTGGGGGGGTATTTTTGTTGTTTTTTTCCAAGTTAACACTTGCATTACTGTGCTTCAAGTGTACCAACTGAATGACAAAGTGGTTAAGATTTTTTGTTGTTGTTGTTTTAACATGGTGATCAGTTCCTTCCAAGTTTTTTTGTATTAAATTCTACTGCTACATTCTTTGTATATCTTAGATGTGAAGACTAGTTGGTAGGCCTGCGCAAAGCGGCAAGTATTCAGTGTAGTTTTGTTTTGGGTTTTTATTTTTTTTTGCTTTGTATTTGGACAGATGGTGATTCGATTCAGTGATTTATTTATTTATTTTTAATCATCCAATTCTGATTCGGAGGTTTGGCCGCTGAATCGGGTTGTATCTCCTCTGAATCAAACAGGCGCAGGCAGCAGTGTCGGTGGCTAGGGCGTGGTGGTGGCCCCCATGCAGTGAGGATTGGCCTTCCCTGCCTGGCACCTTCATGGCAGCTGTTGCATTGCATGGGTGCAGTGCAGTTCAGTAGGGCACCATGCACTGTCCCAGAGCTGGGGCAGCTCCAGCAGGCATCCAAAGCCCAGCAGTGCTGAGCCCGAGTGGTCCTGGCTCCCAGACAGCATGTAGAGCCCCAAGCTGTGCTGCACCCATGTGATGTGACTGCTGCTGTGTGTGGAGGGTGGCTCTGCCACAAGTCCCCAGAGGCCCTGATTGCTGCTGCTGCAGCCAGTGAGTGTGGTGGGGAGGGATCTTTTTTTAATTTAAGTGCTACGATTCTGGGGGGGAGTGGACAGGGGATGGGCTGGGGGGGGCGGGGCTAGGAGAGCCAGCAGGGGATGGGACTGGGTGGGGTTCCCCTCCATGGTCCCTTCCCCCTCCTCTGGCACCCTCTCCCCTGTCCACTACTTACTGGCACAGAGCCTGGATCTAGCTCTGTGGCAGCAAGCAGGGACCACCTGAATCTCCAAATCCATTTGGAGGCTTCTGAATGGATTTGAACCTTGTAATGGGTCTCGCGATTTCTCAGTTCGGATTCAGGGATTCCGCCCTTGAATTGGGCTGAATCTCCTCCTGAAATGAATCTGCTACCAAAGCTTCACACAGCTGTACTAGCTGGTCACCCATGGAAAAAACTAGTTTGCTGTCTGTCTTTTAATTTCTAGCTATTAAGTTGCATTACCAGTTAGCTATTAAACCCTTCTTATAATTATTGGGACAGATGCTTACAGTGATGTTGGATGGAGCCACATTATCCTCTTGGAACACACTGCAAGACTCTGTGTAGGCAGCCCTTTACATCTATGTGGAGCTTGTTCTGCAGGAGTTGGGACAATTTAAGCAGTATTAGAGTAGGCTTGTGATTTGAAGAAGGCCTGGGGGTTTCACACTGTATTAGTCCAAGAGCTAAAATTTAGAAATTACTCAAATACAATCAGAAAAAACAAATCAAACTCTTACCTTAATAGGCATATGCTTCATGGAAAGTAACAACCTAAAGAAGAATTGTGTGTCTGTGCTACTAAAATTAAAATCAATATTAATACTGAATACATTTTTTTTTCCCTAGGGTAAAACCTTTACAAGCTTGTTTACACAGGTAAACTTACTAACATAACTAGATTATTATAATGCCATAACAACTTTGGGATAACTCCACATGGATACAGTGCTGGAGTAAGGTTGCCCATCCAAACACATGAAGTGGTATAGCTGAAGTGGGATAAATTTCCAGGGGAACAAATCCTGTTTGTAAAGTGTTTTGAGCCACAATACCAAATCCAAACATCTTGGGTTTAGCAGCTGAAATCTGATTCCCCCCCCCCCCCCCCCCCCCCCCTACCAACACACCCCCATACT